GGGCCACCCTGCCTTGGTGGGAATCGGCCGGTGTGATAATAAAAAAAAATAAAAATAAAAATATATATATATATATATATATATATATATTCGGGAGCATTAAGCTGAATGAAGCTTGCGACAACTTAACCAGTCTTACGTACCATCGGGAAACACCCCCATCAATTTGATCACCCACACAGTTGACCTCGGTTTCTCTAGGTCAGTCAGTGGGTGACCTCATTTTGGTGGCGTTACTGTCACACCTCCACAAGTCTAGTATTGTGAGGTCAATGGCTTAGAAAACTAACAAGTTGAAGAATAAGACACTTTTGCAACTTCTTGGAATCTCCTATATATTGGCCTGAAGAAGACACTGGCTGGCGAAACGTTTCATCACCAAAGATTCCCAAAAGTTTGGTAATAGAGTTGTGGATGAGTGGAACAAACTCCCAAGTACAGTCCTAGAGGCCAGAACGTTGTGTAGCTTTAAAAATAGGTTGGATAAATACATGAGTGGGTGTGGGTGGGTGTGAGTTGTGCTACCAAGACGGTTGCCGTGTTCCTCCCTTAAGTCAAGGTGACCTGACCTGACTAGGTTGGGTGCATTGGCTTAAGCCGGTAGGAGACTTGGACCTGCCTCGCATGGGCCAGTAGGCCTGCTGCAGTGTTCCATTCGTTCTTATGTTCTTAAATGATGCACATGTGTCTCAGTTATCATCCCTGGTGTTGGTGGTAACGATGGCTCTGTACAGCTGTTGCTTCTAGGCATATCTGGTGTTAACTGAATATTCTTTTTGTAATTTCTATATGTTACTCTTCTTACTGTTAACTTAGTAATAATTTCTGTGATTTCTTTCTAGGTATTTTAGGCCAAGCTGACGTGAGCTGTTTTTTCTTGGTTAACTTTTACTTAACTCTTGAGTTCTTGCTTCTCCGTTAACTTTGTCTTATGTCATCTAATTTTATAGTTTATCTTTTTTTCATTGTTAGCTTAGTTACATATAGGACTTTCTGGTAGCCTAGTCTTATTAGTGTCATTTTTAAATTCAATGTTTAGTACCTGTTTATCAGTTACTTTAAATACATATTTTACAACTCTGTATTATTCTAACTCGTCAGAGGTTATACTGTGACTCAGTGCTTGATGCTGCATCATTAACATATTTTTTTAAAAAAATCAATGACTCTTGATAACGGCTTGCCGGCGAGGTGCATCTTGGCAGATGTTAATTAATTTGATTCCAGATTTTTTCTCTGTTGAGGTGTGACATAAGAGGCTGTTGGCGCTGTCTGTTGGGTAGGGCTGTTGGTTACTGTCCTCGCCGGGAGCCTTCCTGAAACCTAAATTGCCACGAAAACTGTGTTTGTGTACACTGACGAAACTACTTGCTGGACTGAGGCAGCTAACTCTGTTGTTCTTCTGGAAGGTGTCCTTGTTGTACTGTCAAGTCGCTCCTAGTTAGAAGGAACCTGGGCACTTGACAAGGCTTATGACCTTGATAGGTAGGGAAGGAGGGCATAAAGGGACGCGTTAAACCCAATTAAGAAGCCATCAGGACAGATATATCAATGCCAGAAGGGAGTTCTGAAGTATGACGGAGTGAAGCTGAATCAATCACTGCTCCTCTTTCTCCCAATAAATACTCACCGGCCCATTACGAAGTCAACAAAAATTACTCATTTGAAGGATACATAAAAAGAAAACTATTTCAATAACAAATTGGCAAAGCCCGGATAATACTTTTATTAAATTGTGAAATTACGCTGGATGAGAAATAAGTTTTTATTATTATATTAAGATTATTGAAAATGTTGCATGTGACAGATGTGATTAAACAGGAAGTAAAAGTGTTCTTCTTTTTATCATTTCTGGATGAGAGAGAAGGAGAATGGGAAATTTCTTTGCAACTTTCTTGAAAAGTCTGCTGTCAATTAGCCTCCAGTGTTCAAGTGGAGAGTCGTGGTTTGTGAGCCATCATTTATATAATCGTTCTGTCATTGTCAAAAAAACAGCAACAGCAATAGCAGCAGGAGGAGTAGCAGCAGCAAAAATAACAGCAATGGCAGCAACAGCAGCCCAGTAGAAGCAGTAGCAGCTGCAGTCGCAGCAGCAGCAGCAGCAGCAGCAGCAGCAGCAGCAGCTGCTGCTGCAGCATCTTGGGTGATTGATCTGCAGCCGTCTTCTCGTTCTGTGAACGTTATGTTAGACTATTATAGTGACGAGGGTGAGCTGAGAAGAGGATGAAGAGGAGGTGAAGATGCAATGAAGAGGAGGTGAAGGATAAAGAGGAGATGAAGGGGAGGTATGAAACTATGAAGATAAGGTGAATGGGAGAAGTGGAAATAGTAAAGAGATGAAGAGGAAGAGAAAACGAAGGGATGAAGGAGTACAAAAACGAAATACAGAAGACACTATGAGAGCTGATGTGAGGGGTGAGGAAGGATGGTGGGGAGGATAACAGGAGAGGAAAGATAGATGTCATGCACTGAACGCTACGAAGAATGAAAAGAAAAGTAATAAGAGAAACGAAAAAGGAGAAACGCGGACAGTGGATATTTTTTTTAATAAGCAGAAGAGAAATACGAGATGAAACAAAGCTAAAAGAGAAGACAGAAAAAAAGACAATTTTGGTAAAAGAAAGTTTGAAACAGAGAGAGAGCGAGAGAGAGAGAGAGAGAGAGAGAGAGAAAGAGAAAGAGAGAGAGAGAGAGAGAGAGAGAGAGAGAGAGGAGGGAGAGAGAGTAGGGGTTGCAAGATCCTGTACGAGGCACAAGTACGCTCACACCTTGAGTATGCTCCACTTTCTTGGTTTGCCTGTCCCCCTCTCATCTGCGACTGCTTGACAGAGTAGAGAACAGAGCAAGACGTCTCATCTCTCGCCTGGACCCATCCTGGATAGATATGTCATTTCAGCAGAGCCTTCAACATAGGAGGGATGTGGGTGGCCTTACTGTTATGTACAAGGCCAATATTGTCAAAATACCACACTTGGATCCACTTCGAGGACAGCGTGAAACAAGCTTTTATGCCACAAGACGGGCAGAAAGCAGCAACTTCACTCTGGCTGTACCCTTCTCCAGAACATCACTCCATCTGAGATCATACATACCCAGGATGACTCGAGTATGGAACACATTCGTACAGCATAATGATGTCAACGAGATAAAGTCAGTTGATCAAATGAAAATGCTGGCCCACAGATGGCTCCAACTTCATCCTGTCCCGTACTTGTAAAGTCTCATAACAATAAAAATGCTTTCAAATGAGCTGATGTAGGTAACAGCTCTTAGCTTGCCAATAAAGTTAGGAATCCTTAACCTGTAATATAGCTGTCAATAAAGCTAGGGATCCTTAACCTTGTCAAACCCTGTGTAAAAAAAAAAAAAAAAAAAAGAGAGAGAGAGAGAGAGATAGATAGAGAGAGAGAGACATTTGTACCTGAGAAAACACAAATGATGATGAATTCTAGGCACCAAGATGATAATGCTGGTGCAGTAGTAAGGATGAATGGGAGGGTGTTGGCACCTGGGGAAGAAATTGATATCCCTGGGGTGAAATTTAATTCCAAACTGACCTTGAAAAAACATGTTGTAAATCTTGCAAACAAGGCAGCCAGGAAGCTTACAGCACTTCGCCGTATCTCGCATCTGCTTGACAGCAGGGGTTGCAAGATTTTGTACGAGGTACAAGTAAGCTCACACCTTTAGTATGTTCCACTTTCTTGGTTCGCCTGCCCCCTTCTCATCTGCGACTGCTTGACAGACCTGGATAGATCTGTCATTTCAGCAGAGCCTTCAACACAAGAGGGATGTGGGTGGCCTTACTGTTATGTACAAGGCCAATATTGTAGAAGTACCAGACTTGGATCCACTTCGAGGACAGCGTGAAGCAAGCTTTTATACCACAAGACGGGCAGAAAGCAGCAACTTCACTTTGGCTGTACCCTTCTCCAGAACATCACTTCATCTGAGAAAATTTATCCCCAGGATGGCTCGAGTATGGAACACATTCGTACAGCATTACGATGTCAACGAGATAAAGTCAGTTGACCAGATGAAAATGCTGGCCCACAGATGGCTCCAACTTCATCCTGTTCCCTACTTGTATGTTTTATAACAATAAAAATGCTTTCAAATGAGCTGATGTAGGTAACAGCTCTTAGCTTGTCAATAAAGTTAGGAATCCTTAACCTGTAAATAGCTTGTCAATAAAGCTAAGGATCCTTAACCTAACCTTGTCAAACCCTTTTTAAAAAAAAAGAGTAAGAGAGAGAGAGAGAGAGAGAGAGAGAGAGAGAGAGAGAGAGAGAGAGAGAGGGGGGGGGGGACGCAAAAACAGTCAATCAGACAGTTAATTACGACTCTTCTTAGAATCATTACTTTAATGATATTCAGTATCGACAAGATGTGTAAGACACATGTGCAACACCTGGGGTATCCCGGTGACTGGGGAGGGAGGAGGATGCACAAATGTTGCACATGTGTCTCATTCACCAACTTTTCGGAATCACCCACTAATTTAGTCCACTATGAACGATGAACCACCCACTAACTTAACCACCACCAACTAACTTAACTACTCACTAACTTAACCACAACCCACTAACTTAACTACTCACTAACTTAACCACCACCCGCTAACTTTACTACTCACTAACTTAATCACCACCCACTAACTTAGCTACTCACTAACTTAACCACCACCCACTAACTTAACTACTCACTAACTTAACCACCACTCACTAAACCACCACCCACCAACTTAACCACCACCCACTAACTTAACCACCACCCACTAACTTAACCACCACCCACTAACTTAACCACCACCCACTAACTTAACCATCACCCACCTGCACCACACACAAGTAACCTGCACTCAGGAGACTGAAATTTGTTAGTTGTACATTGTTCCAGTCTTTTCATTCACCTGAGGTAGTTACTGAGGTCCCCTGTGTTGTGCCTTTTATTTACCTGAGGTAATTATTCAGGTCCCACGTGTTGTGCCTTTTATTCACCTGAGGTAGTTATTGAGGTCCCCGTGTTCCATGTATTCGAAGACCATCAGCAGAGGATCAGAGTTGTAACACACGCCGTAGAAGCTGACGATGTTCTTGTGTTTGAGGTTGTTGAGTAGCTCCACCTCCCTCTCCAGCTCCTGCCGAGCCTCCACTCCAACACTCTTCAACGTCTTCACCTGACGAAGGTAAAACTCACACGAGTGTGGATTATGCAGCGACAAGTGTGGGTAATTTAGAGACAAGTGTGGGTAATTCAGAGCCGAGACAAGTGGATAATTCAGATACAAGACAAGAGTGGATAATTCAGAGACAAGCCAATTGTGGGTAATACATAGACAAGTGTGGGTAATTCAGAGACAAGTGTGGGTAATACATAGACAAGTGTGAGTAATACATAGACAAGTGTGGGTAATTCAGAGACAAGTGTGGGTAATACTGATAAAAGTGTGGGTAATACTGATACAAGTGTGGGTAACACTGATACAAGTGTGGATAATACTGATACAAGTGTGTGGGTAATACAGATACAAGTGTGGGCAATACAGATACAAGCGTGGGTAATACTGATACAAGTGTGTGTGGATAATACAGATACAAGTGTGGGTAATACATATACAAGTGTGGGTAATACTGATACAAGTGTGGGTAATACTGATACAAGTGTGTGGGTAATACAGATACAAGTGTGTGGGTAATACAGATACAAGTGTGGGTAATACTGATAAAAGTGTGTGGGTAATACAGATACAAGTGTGGGTAATAAGGATACAAGTGTGGGTAATACAGATACAAGTGTGGGAAATACTGATACGAGTGTGGGTAATACAGATAAAAGTGTGGGTAATAAGGATACAAGTGTGGGTAATAAGGATACAAGTGTGGGCAATACAGATACAAGTGTGGGTAACACGGATACAAGTGTGGGTAATACTGATACGAGCGTGGGTAATACAGATACAAGTGTGGGTAATATAGATACAAGTGTGGGTAATACAGATACAAGTGTGGTTAATACTGATACATGTGGTAACTTATACAACGTTTCGCCCTCAATGATGCTTTATGATGCCTGGTTTAACCCACATGGAAAGGCCTTTTCAGGTGTTTATGTAAGGTATGGGAGAAACTTTCATAAAAGTCCCAGTGTGGGTAAAAGGTCGTGTAATGAAGCCCCACTGAGGGTTAAACATCGTTTAACCCTCAGTATCTTTGATTTTACCACATGTAATACTGACAGGTGTGATAGATGTGACAAGTGTGACATGTGTGGCAGATATGACAAGGCCGACAGGTGTGACAGGTGTGACAGGTGTGACATGTAACAGGTGTGACATGTGTGATAGGTTTGGCAGATGTAGCAGGTGTGGAAGTAATGATACAATATTCTGAACAAACTCATTAGGATTACGTTTCGGTCTGCGTAAAACATTATCGTGTCACTTCTCAATAAAACGTGTGTCGTTTCTCCACAAGTCTCTATTAGACAACGTTTCTCCCGAAGTCGAAGACCATAAAAACTCATCTTTTGAGCGAAACATAGTGAAATGAAAATGTAGGTGGATAAGAGGAAAACACACACACACACACACACACACACACACACACACACACACACACACACACACACACACACACACACACACACACACACACACACACACGGTATGTCCAACGAGGAGCGGTTAAGGGAAATCGACCTGACAACACTGGAGGACAGGAGAGAGAGGGGAGACATGATAACATAAAATACGAGAGGAATTGACAAGGTGGACAGAGACAGGATGTTCCAGAGATGGGACACAGCAACAAGGGGCCACAGTTGGAAGTTGAAGAATCAGATGAATCACAGGGATGTTAAGAAGTATTTCTTCAGTCACAGAGTAGTCAGGAAGTGGAATAGTTTGAGAAACGATGTAGTGGAGGCAGGCTCCATATATAGCTTTAAGAAGAGATATGATAAAGCTCATGGAGCGGGAAGAGTGACCCAGTAGCGGCCAGTGAAGAGGCGGGGCCAGGAGCTGTGACTCGACCCCTGCAACCACAACTGGGTGAGTACAACTAGGTGAGCGTGCACACACGCACACATACACAGTCATACAACAGGCCTAGTGTAATCGACATGTGCTTAGGACCAAATTACAACTTAACATACACCACCACAGGTCAAGTGTCTATCGACAAGTGCCTTTGACAAGTGGTAACTAAGAGGATACTAACCGCTACCTGGCTGGGTCTTCCCCAGCCGTCATCCAGCAGTCCCAGATACACTCGGCCGAAAGCTCCTTCTCCAAGCTCAGTGACGAACTTGACGTTGTCGCAGGAAATAACTCGAGCCTAAAGGAGAGAGAGAGAGAGAGAGAGAGAGAGAGAGAGAGAGAGAGAGAGAGAGAGAGAGAGAGAGAGAGAGAGAGAGAGAGAGAGAGAGAAAGAGAGAAAGAGAGAAAGAGAGAAAGAGAAAGAGACAGAGACAAAGAGGCAGAGACAGAGACAGAGAGACAGAGAGACAGGGAGAGAGAGGAGAGAAATTAATAAATAATTAGCTGGTGATTCATAAATGACATTTGTTTCTAATTAGAATTGAATAAACATTTACCACAAAAATTTGGGCAATGTTTCTATGCGTCTCAAAACAGCCTGACAAATTAAAACAAAAAAACAGAAAACTACAGTGTAAAAAAGCTTAATGTTACGGAATTGACATGACGCAGTGAGGACAAGTGGAAAAAAAAGAGATAATTACTGGACAGCAGAGTGAAAGTGGAATAAAATTCCGACAGGAAGGGGAAAAAAAGAGACACAAATGCTCTGTAATGCGATTCTTTATTGACAACGGTTAGCCCACACAGTGGACTTCGTCGAGTTATCAAACAAATCCGTTTGTGACTTGATACAACCCACTGCGTGGGTGTAACGTTGTCAGTATAAGATCACATTGCGATGTATTTGTGTCTTTTTTTCCCAGAAGAGTCTATCATTGTGGCAACATATCACTCTGTGTAGAGCTGAACAAGTAGATAACTTTTTCAACTAAAGTTTATTCTGTCAAGTGTCTTTTATTCGTCAATGGTGACCATCACACTGGACTGATCCGTCTTATCTTCACTAAGTAAACAAGGAAAAATAACAGCATTTCAAGACATTTATTGTACCTCAAATACCGAAAAACTTGAATACATCATTCAAAAAATAATTAACTTGCAAATTATAAAAAACACTGAAAGTATCTTAGACTGCAACGGATGGTGTTGCTGGCATGTCTAGGGAGATATGTTAAATGAAATGTGGACGTCTATGTTTATAGGTTTTTTTCTTTTGCTGCGTTGGTTGGTAATAATCTTTGGCAAGACAGTGAATGGGAAAATTCCTGCAAATAAAAGCATTCTTTTTTTTAAATATAGTTGAAAAAAAAAATCACTTGAAACTACCCTATACAATATTTTTAACTCCTTCCACCGTCTAATATAACCACTAATTCTACCTTCAGCTCTCTCCTTTACCTCTGTCTTTGAGTAAGATGAAGACAATTACTCAAGCCTCTTTGCTTTTAAATACATATAACTTTTGCTCCTTATATATAGATTCAGCGAAGATCCTTCATCTTTGATTTCGAAAATCTAATGAAGAACTTTACTTAAAACTTTCTAAATATCTAGAATTATTGCATACACAATTATAATTCTCGTAATATTATATTATAATATATATATATATATTATATATATATATATATATATATATATATATATATATTATATATATAATATATGATTATATAATATGCAAAACAACCACTCTGAAAGAATAGAGAAATTCCAAGCGCTTTCGTGACTACTCACATTATCAAGGACTATATTCTGATATGTGAGTAGTCACGAAAGCGCTTGGAATTTCTCTATTCTTTCAGAGTGGTTGTTTTGCATATATATATATATATTATATTAAAAATTTATATATATATATATTATATATATATATAAAATTTAAATATATAATATATTATATACATAAACTTCTCACCTGTGGATCTCTCTGTTAACCCTCTCCTGCTCCGCCTACACATGTCACTGACGACAGTATATTACCTACTTAACTTGCCCTCCCTCACCACGAGGCTTGTAAGACGACTTATACTCCTTGTTATAACCTCATAACCCTCTCTGATGGCTGTACTCGCCACTCAACCGTTTTTAACCTGTGGCTCACCCCTTTATGAAGCAACCTTGGTCTCCATCTCAAATATTCTCCCATTCTGGATGCCGCCCTTAAAATTTCACGTGGGTGTTTGTCTTGAGTTAATTGGATGGAGGACCGAATCTCGACTACTTCTTGTGCCGAATGATCCACACGGGTTTGGTTCATAATTGTTATTACTATTACTGCTACTACTACTACTACTGCTGCTACTACTACTTGTACTACTACTACTACTACTACTACTACTACTAATAATAATAATAATAATAATAATAATAATAATAATAATAATAATAATAAGAAGAAGAAGAAGAAGAAGAAGAAGAAGAAGAAGAGAAAAAAAATAATGAAAACAATAAACTGTCGCCGCTCTTTTAATATTTGTGCTGCAGCGTTGTATACCCCTTGTGGTTTAGCGTTTCTTTTTTATTATAATAATTTTAATATTTGTCTGAAGTTTTACCTATTAGTCTTGCCTCTTATCCTCCCTCTCCTCTATTATTATATATTAGTGCCTCATCTTTTTTTCCCATTAACCTGGCCTCTCTCTTTCCTTTCTCCTGTCCCTAACATTTATTAAGAGGGAGAGCCCTTGCCTCTCAACTCCTCTCCCCCATCTCTCAAGTCCCTTGTGTCTTACCTTAGGCTTGGAGGGGGAGACCTTCCCGTTGGCCATGTACTCAGGGTTCTCGACGAGACGGTCAGCGCTGAGAGGCATCATCTCTTGCAGTTGCAGTCCCTCACTCTTCTTCTGACAGTCCTCGTCC